ATTATGGATTGTAACTGAATCCCCCTGAAAGCTCAGCTCATGCCCACAGCTGCAGGGCAGTGATGGATGGATGGTGGAGGGATGAGAGTAGTCTTGCTGTAGCCGAACAGTTGTAAAAACAAACAGAGGGGTGGAGCATCTGGAAAGGTGTGCAGGAGAGGTGGAGGGCGTCTAAGGTGACCGTCACTGTAACAAGCTGAGCTGACTTATGATCAGCGGCTTCGACCTCACTGCCTTGCTCTAAGCTGAGTCATGAGTCTTAGTGAGAAGAAGAGGGTTGTTCTTCTGTTTTTCTTCTTATTAAGGTGTGTGTAAACGCGAGTGTGTCTAATTATGGATAATTATTACAGTTTATCTCATTTATATGGCGGCTTTTATTCAGGAAATACAACTCAAGCAGCTGGCTGACAGCTGGAAAACTGCAAAACCCACCCAGGATCCACATGTGCCACCAGGTTGTCTGAGGGTGGGTTTTGTTTTTACACCTATAGTTTGTTTATGCTGGTCCAAATGAGTTTGCTAATGAGTTTGTAAGCTTGTAGATCCGTGTTGACCAAAATGCATCACTATAAGCCCCATTAGAGTATTCAGTCCACTTATTGGCCAGATGTGTTTGGGGCAGGACCAACAGTAAAAACAGGAAGATGAGCTATTGGAGATTTTCCATTCATTTCATGGCTAGTTGCTAGCCCGTACAGACATTTGCACATCTACTGTATGCAAGAATGAAACGCATATGTGCCTAGGGGAAAGTGTTCATCTCAAACTTGCAACGTACACATGGTAGTCGGGTCAAATCGACATAAGATCACATTCACGCTGTAAAAGAACCCCATCCTCAAAAAAAGTCTTAGTGCCGGTGGGACTAAAAAAACGATTCCTGAATTTTCAGCTCAGTAAAATATTTATATGTGGCATTAATATGAACCCTTGTCTATCATCACCATTCATTTCTAATGTGCAAGATTTTGACACTCTTCCAGCTGGAGTATCTTCAGGTTTCTGCAGCAGCTGTGCATAACAAAGCTTGAATTCTTGTAAAAAATGCCAGGATACATGTGTGATACGTGAGCTCATCAACGCAGCATGGTGGCTCACTGGTTAGCACTGTTGCCTCACAGTAAGAGGCTCCTGAGCTCTGCCCTGTGGTGGTTGCATGTTCTCCCCATTGCTTGCCTAAGTGTTCCCATCGCTGAAAGACAAGCTAGGTTAATGTGCTTGTGTGGGTCCAAGGGTTTCACTTCCTGGTTACATGAAAGCAAATAAAATTGGCAAATGGTGGTCATGAGGTGAAAGAAAGGTGTCTGTCTTGAAAATGTGATGTGATGTGTTGTGGTGCATGAAATGAGGACTTAAATGTAGGAAGGGGAATCACACAGAAGAGGGTGGGAGGGGGTCAAGCTGAATCATTCAAAAGGCAAACTGCAACCAAAGAGAGCACAGAACCAAAGAAATAAAAACAAAATACTATTTATTGGTTAATCAGGAGAGAGGGAAAAAATAGATACAGGAGAGTGTAATGATGTAGTTGGAGACAGTGACACAGGAAAGAAAGACAAAGACAGAACAAAAATAAGCATAAGCGAATAAAAGATTTAACAGAAGAGGAGACTAATAACTCTACAAATGCGAACATAAACAAAAGTATAACAAGAACTAAAGGCTCATAATAGTTTGTAATAAACAAAAACCTAAACTACAAAACAATGAACTAAACAGAGAACCAGGATTAAATCAGGGGCATAATGTCCAGAAAATGGACCCACACAATGTGCATGTTGCTCCAGATGTAATTGTAATGAGTTTCATGCAAAAATGAGAACCACCAGGGAAAAAATCCCTTTAACAGAGGTTGTAACTGTAAAGTAAATTATCATAAAGCTGGAACGTAAGAAAGAAATGAAGGACTTGGTGAATAAAAATGTTATTTCATGGAACGAAGATATCGATCAGAATCCAAAACTTGCCAAAAGAAAAAAAAGTTGAACAAACTCTCTGACAAAGACGGGGTTTCGGACGATGCACGGACACACTGACACACTGAGGGTAATCAAGGGAATCGAAAACAGATGGGGAACAAGAAAGCTGAAACTAATCATGACAAGTGATACAAAGGACGTAAAATGAAATACAACCTTCAGGAGACCTTTATTACTGTCAAAATAAAACAGGAAGTAACTGCACAAGAAATGATTAACACTGATGAAGACAAGATTAAACAAGATGGTGTAAGGGAGGTAAGCATAAGTGTATAGGAATTTCTTTCACTCATGTGTAGTCATAATGCCTTGGTGGATTTTAACATGTCTGACACTCATACTTAAGACAAATGGTAGGGGGTGTAGTAAGGATGTTGGGGAAAACAGGAACTCCAGAGGACCAGTCTTTTGTCTCTTCGAGGACTCTGGGAAGTAGCAAGGGAGTGTGAACCTTAAGGTGTGAAATAGCTGTGTACTGCCTTTGTTCCTGGAGAAGGTATTATGCTAGGCTCAGTGAGACTCTGCTGACCGTCTGTCCCGCGGTCATGCAGGGACTTCATCAAGCTTGGTTGTATGTTGTCTTTGTGTGCTTTGATTAAAGAATGTTAGCTACCGCTCACCGCTCGTCTGCAGGCTTTATTTAAATGGAAAACTTCCACAACAATAAGCTAAACCCAAATAAAAATCCCAACACAATTACTGAACAAACACAAAATTTGATAAAGAAAGATTAAACTAAAACTGTGTGTTATAGTTTGCTCCATTAAAAATATCTCATTTTAAAGGAAGCTCTGGTGTATCCTCTATTAAATTCCTTAACCTCCTAAGACCCAAACTCGTTCATTGCATGCATTTTAATTTCTCTTTGCTATTTGGGCTGATGACGATGTATAAAAACAAGGAATTATCAGATTTTTTTTTACCTAATTTTTGTTTCTGAGAAAAATCAGATCCCCCTATGAGGACATTCGCTTTAAATTTTGATAGAACAGTGGCAGTGTAATGTCTTTGTAAGTGGATATCAGGCCCTTGTAGGGCAAAATTTTGTAGTTTGGTCTAGACAACCCAAAATGTGATGTCCACATATGTGGATGGCAGGTCCTGGGAGATTAATATTTCAAGTGTTCTTACGACAAGTTAGAACGTCTGCTATTTGCTGTGTTGAAGAAAGAAAGAATATACTTGGATTGATTTTATACATCTGAATGACAAGGATCTGTGTGTTACACTGGACCTGGGGTTGTGACTACATGTGAAGGTAATCATGGTCAGTGAGCCTGCACTACCATTTTTCATACAGAAATACATTTTCCTGTTCTCCAAAAGTTGATTCTGTTCATCTGGATGTAACGTTTTCAGTGGGAGAAACGTTTCGTCACTCATCCAAGTGACTTCTTCAGTCTTCAGACAGTCTGAAGACTCAAGAAAGTCACTTGGATGCAGCCACCATGCTGCATCCAAGTGACTTTCTTGAGCCTTGATTAAATAAAACTCCAAATAACAGGATGCCATTGGACAGGGATAAAAGGAAGCAAAATGCTTGGATGTCATTTAAGTTTGAACTACTTGTAGTAGCAGTTGATGAACCTATTCGAATTGCTATTTTTCTTTTCAGTTTTTGCGTTGGGGTTAAAATGGATTTCCTTTAAGGTTAGATAAGCCTGCAAAGCACCTACCAGACACGTGCAAATTCAACCACTAAATACCAAAAACAAATCGATTGTTATTGAATTTGTT